AGGTAAAGTTTCAACAGAACTCAGTTTTTGTAAGCAGACAGCTCCACTCAGTATACTGTAAAGAAAAAGTGTTCAAGTGTCGTCATTCATTTAGAACGCATTTTGTGTCATAAACAGTGTCACAAAAATGTGTTTATAAGTAGGACTCAAAATGCGTCCATCTCATGTATTATTTTTTTTGTCTTTAGTAGACATATTTTGCTTACAGTGGTTGTAGAAGTAGGAGGTGTAAGTTAACCGATTTTTCTGTAAGTCGAGTATTGTGATGTAGCATGTCTGTTGGTGCTGATATTTCATCTCAAGTAAAAGACTAACAGGTTCAGTTGGAAATTGAGTTAAGTTGATTGAATAGTTGGCAAAACAATGTAAACGGGCATATTTCTGTTTTCGTTCTATGAACGTTAGTTGATTTGCTCCCAATTCATCGTATTCTTTTTAATGTTTAGTCACCTTAAGAATGCCTGCCATCACTAATAAACCAGCGAATATGGGAATGGCTGTTCAAAGTGGACCATATACGAAAGCGCAATGTATGTATTTTTTTTTTGTATAGAAAGTCTAAAAATAGTTGTCAGCTATTGTTCGATGTAATATGTTTCTAGTCCAATCTACAATGGAAGGTTCACGTACCGTTAAAACCATTAAAGAAATAGAAAATTTGTTAAAAGATTATCCTGCCGCGTTAGATTTATATAAAACAGGAAAATATAAAGTGAAAGTAAAGTGTGAAGCAGATGTTGAACGTGTTATACTAGTTGAAAAGCGTTCAGCAAAAGGTGGGGATGCAAATAAAAAATCGCAAAAAGATAATAAACAAAACTCAAATATAAAAGTATCAACGCTGACCAATGATGAACAAGTAACAGCAACTACGATGACTCAAACATATGATCAACAGGATAATGAATCCGAAGATACACTCAATGATAATAACAACAAACGAGATCATTCGACATCACGTCAAAGTACCGATCATTTATCAAAACATTCAAAATTTAATGGAGATGGTGAACATCATCGTCATAGTCGAACACATTCAAAAGATAGTCGAAATTGTAGTACAGAACGACCGCCACCATTCTCATCATCCACACAACATGTAAACAAAATACAATTGTCAAACAATTATCAATCACATTCATCAGGAAAAGTCACGAATGGTACTCAACAATATGAAAACGGCCATTCGATACATTATTCAAAGGACAAGGATGTAAGAAAATCATCAAAAGATCGTCTAAGGAGTAGAAAACAATCAAAAGATCGTCAAAGCGACACAGCATCAAAGAAATATGGTGGACGAAGTACATCGAATGATAGTGGTAGAACAAAATCACGGCATAGTAGCAAAAATCGACGTCAAACATCGCCAAAATACCTTTCAAACTCATCACTCACATCGAATAACACTCAAAACCATCAACAGAAACAGTCAAATGAAATGATGATACGTAAAACAGTTATACAACATCGCGCATCAAAAGGTCGTCATGACGGTAGTTCTAAAGCAATTCATGAATATATGCCAGGCAAAGTGCCCGCACTACCATTTCGAAAGACAAAATGGAATCCAGGAATATTGCCATTATACGCCTGTCTCCCACATCCTTATTGGCCATCACAACAAAATATATTTGCTGCTGCTAATCAATCCGTATTGAGACCGTTTCAACCAAATTTATGCCCCATCCAGTGGCAACCGTCCCGACAACAAGTTCCATCAACATTCGCTCCACAGCGCCCAATGCATCCAGCACTTTACTATGGTTCTCGTCCCAACGTCCAGAAACCATCTGTTCGGTCGTCAACATCTCCTCCACAATTAAATACATTTCTGACAGCGTCAACGCCAAGTAGTGTCGGTCTTCGTTCTCACCACAGTGGTCGACCAAAAGATTCAAATTTTAGTTCATCTATGTATTCAGCACCCATTGCCAACAATTTTCGATTTCATCATCCGGGTAATGCTTATGTAATGAACGGACAGCAAGTTAACTCTGTAAATCAATCTTGGTTCAATGGTACTGGTTCCGTAAGAAATGGTTGGATGTCAATGGCTGGAGTTGGAAAAACATCTTTACAAGCAGATTATAAACGTCCAAAACATCGTGCGAAAAGTGTTGATACAGGACCAGGTTTGAGTCGTAAATCGCACACGATTATACCAATGAGTATAAGAGATCAAAGTATTGAAAAATCCTTGAATAATCAACAAAAACACTTGACCGTTCCCATTGAACAATATCGTCACCATAGTTATCATCATCATCATCATCATCAACATGTTGCACAAAATCATTATCAATCACAACCAATCATAACTAATGGAACGGTTAATGAGCAAAAACCAGGAGAAAATGGACACAGTTCGGTAAAATAAAAAGAATCAGATCAATGTTAAGTTATATACAACTTCCTCTTGCTTATTTTCTAGCGTAATGTCAACGGTACAAATGGTGGTATAACTGGTGAAAAACTAACAATTCGTCAACTGAACGGTTAGTAATTTGTCAATCTATCGAACTTTATTTCATTAAGTTTTTATTATTAACTTTAGAAACGTTTCAACAAATGAATCCAACCGGTCGTTTACCATTATCGTCCATAGCATCAATACTTCAAAACTTTAACATGTCGATTACTGAAAATGAACTAACTACTACTGCACAACAATTACAGTACAATAGTAAGAATAATGTGGATAAGACGAACGTTAAAAGTTCAATTTCAGATTGCGCGTATAGTTTACGTAAAAAGAAAACATTACTAATCTCGTGTATGTAGAACAAAAATAGCAGCGTTACTTCCTTAATGTATACTTCGAAGTATACATAAGAACTAATTTCTTGTTCTAACAGTTTGGAACCTAGGCATTTTCTGCGGACGTTAATGCAGGTTTCAAAGCTAAGATTACGAGATACAGTTCCTAGAAAAAGCATTTGACCCGAATTATAAGGCCTAGATATTCATCGAATAGTTGTACTGTTAGTGATAACAAAGAAGTGTGCCACTGATAACGAAAGGATGAACATAAAAATCATCATAGAATTATCAGTAACAGATGAAACGCAATAAGAAATAATCTAATCACATCCTTTTAAAAGTTTATTTAAACTGTTCTGGAATGTTCTGAACATTAGAATGTGTTATTTTGTTTCAGTTAGCGAACCAATTTCAGCTCGAAAAACGATTCACATTCTTGTCAAACTAGGAAAAATAGCCAAATCGACACATCAGAATAGTCCGCCATCACCAGCATTATCAGAAGATAGAGAAGTGAATGATATAATGCGTAAAGTATGTATAAAAAATTTTCTCAATCACGATAGTCTTTATTTTTTTTGTTTTTTTGTAATTTTTAGGCTCCTGTACACTCATCTTTGAATCCAACTCACTGGTATTAAAAATAAAGAATTACCCGTTTTATCAATGACTCACGTTTTCGCATCGTTTTTTTAAACCTGTAATGGACAAATTATATCTGTACATTACTTAAACTTGTCTGTTTTGTTGTAATTTTCAATATTTTGTTCCATCGTGTTTGTTGTAATGGAAAAAACCAAAGCTACATTAGAAAAGTTTAGTTTGTGAAAACAGGAAAAAAAACATCGATTCGTGAACATCAATAAAAAAATCGAAACTTGTAAGGTAAATAGGTTACTAACTAATATTTACCCCTATTTGTTTTCATTTCTCATGATGGATTTGCTTTTGTGTATGACTACTGTTTATTTATTATACTTAGTGCACACAAAAATTAGACTATAATTAATAATAATAATAATAAAAACAGTATAGCATTAAATGCGAATTCACTTGTCAACAGCATGATTTACATCGTATTTTAAATGATTTTACCCTTTTTGACTTATTCTATTATGAAAAGTATGAAAACCATTACTGAAAAGAAACTTTATCC